CCCCCCCCAGTGCCCTTACCTCCTCCTCAAGAGCTGCGCTCCGATTCGGCGTTACAGGGAGTTGTAAGCGGCTTTCATTTTTTCATCACTTTTTTACGACCCATTGTATGTGGAACCTTGTCTGACTAGAGCAGTATTTATAAAAAAGAATGCTCTGTGTTCCTTTGGCACGCTATACATTCTTATTATATTGGATAATAAGTGATATTCCTTAGGATCAAAGAGGAACCTTCAGTCATTATCGAAGATTAACTCATTTAGCGATGCAATAAATTGTTTCACTTTCGAGTAATGTGCTAACAGATTTTGGCATCTGCTCCCAAAGGATCAGTGACTGCTCCAAACCAATGATTCGCCAGCTACGGAACCTGCCACAAAAGGTCAAATGCCGCTTCCATCACTGCGATTGCCTTTCTTTTGCGAAAGGAAGCAATAGTGCTTGAGGTGAAACCGTTCTTCGCGATCTGAGAGAGTCCTTGAGGCGTCAAAAAACACCTTTCAAGAACGGACATTTTTTTAGTTTGTGTTTTGTGATAAAGAATTTCGTCATTTTTTTCCTCCTATTTTTTTTTTTTTTTTGCGTAGAAAACAAAGATAAATGAATTGCAAAAGTCCTTGCACCCTATTTTTTTTAATTGGAGCTTTTTTTCAGCTTTTTGACCATTTCGTTTTGGGCAGAAATCGAAGCGTCGCAAGCGATAACGGGCTGTCGAGGTGTATTTAGGCAGTAATAACGGATTAACACAATGTAACGTGGTTGTTCCTAAACTTCTTTATGTATTTTACACTTCTCTTTGGCTGTATTCCAAATGTCACCCGAGTTACCTATCCCCCACGTCAGCGGGTAATACCACGTGACATCGCGAGTAAACAATCCGTGACTCGATTTTGGAACGGCTAGGATAGCCGGGATAATTACTTGGATACTACACGGATTGGCTTCGTCTTGGGCTAAATAAAAAAAAGAAAACAGAGCAGCGAGAGCGAAAAAAAATCAGACGCTGTCTTGATCCTAGAGAAAGCACTCGAAGAGACGATATTATTAACAACTCCCAAGCTTTTCTTTGACAGTGACGACACGGTGTTTCCTGAAAGGGCTCCACCAGCTCCTCTTGTTCGCCGCCATTTTGGGCTGTATGTTGATATCATAATTACTTACTCCTCTCAGTTGTTCTTATTATTCAGCATGGTCACTGTAAGTCTAGTTCAGGTGCCAAGCACACATATTCCACGCATAGTTATTATCACCTATTAAGTTTTGCAGAAAGTGCTTCCACAAGGCATAGCAGTACAACGCAGGGGGCTTTTTCAGCAGCGATATGTAACTTACGTTCGCTTTTACCCAATATGATTACAAAATCACAAAGAAAGAAAAAGAGTCAATTTATTGGGGAGGGAGATAGGACGACGTTTTTAACTGATCCTATACAAAAAAGTCTTCGAATCCTTCCCTGCTTTACAAGCGTTATCCTCTCTTTACACACACTCTGGAAAACAAATACTTCTACATCACCTACTGCGTTCAAGCATTTACAGCCTTGGACCTGAGAATACGAAGTTCTCTCCCAACGCCGAGGACGAGGATGCGGAGAAGCTCCTGTTTACGCTAGCATTCTGATGACAAAAACAGGTATACCTTCTTGGGCAGGGTACGTGGTCTAGATGTGGTGCGTATTCAATTCCGGCGTTGAAAATAGCCAACATCGGAAAAACCACACATAAATGGCTGCACCTTATTCTTTGTCATTTCGAACGTCTCCCACGAAAGCCAACGTAGAAAACGAGCTTTGACGACTTTTCGCAGAAAGCAGACGACGAGCAGACGGCGAACAGATCACGTGACGTATTTACTCGATTTTGTCTGAGATTACCCCCAATCGAGAAGGGTAGCGAAGGGTAAGTTGACCCCCCTATGTGATACCCTCTCACGAGGGCCTTTAGGGGTAATATGAATAAATAAATGAGAAAGATTAAAAAAAACTGCTTAATCTAACTAAATATGGTAATCAGCAAAATACAAATGTAACGGATATGTAACGAGACGTTCTATTTTTTAACTAACGGCAACGAGTTCCTTTTCCACATATGGAACTTGTAACGGGAACGCGTCCCAAAAATCAGAAGAAACGAAGAACCAGCTTTTGTTCTTTTTTTTTTTTTTTTTTTGAGGAACGTGTACAACACTGGGGAGAGCACGCCTATGTGGAGAATTGTTCTCGGAAAAGGAATACACTGGCGCTACTGCGACCCACTTGGAGGGTCATCGTATGTTGTTATCGGAACCCCTCCTCCTGCGTTGACTCTGCAGGAAATACTTGAAACCTGTGTGCTTGGATGTGTTTTCTTTTTTTATCTACGTAGGACAGATTTTTTTTCCTATTCTCTTACACCAACCGCGAGCAGAAAAAGATGCCAAAGTGAAACAGAAAAATAAACAAAATTATTCGGGCGTTGCCATCTATCATGCTCTTCCTTTCTCTTCCACTTAGGATTCTTCTCGTTCGCCGCCCAGTCCACGGTGTGGCCTAGTCTCGGGTTGTTAAAAGGGATGCTGGATCGAAACTTAAAATATACGCAGGACGTTTAGAAATAAGTCAGGTAGGATCAATAACAGACGTAAATAATAAGCGCACGCTTGTGTTTTGAGCGATTGTCTATATTTTTCGCTCTTAATTACGGGTTTTTGGCGAGCGCTTTCAAAAGACAATTCAGAGAGTGCATGTGTCTTGGGATATCCGTCGCGCCAGATTGCGCCCACGAAGTTAATGACTTTCTCGGGGTAAAGCGTGCCGCAATTATAAGCATGCGGCCTTCCCAGAGTGGAAACGAATTTGTCGGTCTGCTCACGAAGCCTCCATCTTGCCACAAAATAACTGCGAAATGGCTGAAAAAAAAAAAAAAAATAAACACTTTTAAGCTTTTTTTTTTTTTCTGAACACCATGCAATAAAGTCCACACTAAGGTGTGGACTTTATTGCCGAAGGAGATTGTGAATATGGAAACGGTGTCCCCTTTAGAGGATTTCATCACTGCACTGTTAAATTATTAAAAACGCAAATTCCTCCTCTTTATTTGATATATGTAATCATAGATGGTTTTCATGTCGTTTCAATTCCGTTGTCTCTGCTTTTCCAAATTTACGTTACCTGTCTGTTGTAGCCAGTGTTTGTATTGCATGCTTGCACATTTTTGGTCATTTGGACCCTCCCTGTAATAACCCTCAAGATAGGGCTAACAGTATTTTAAAAAAGTTGATATGATCCACGTAATAGACAGCATTTATTTTTACCGATATTTTAAAAGGGGAGAACTCTCATATATTCCATATTTTATTGGTAACAATCGTTAATACTAGAAATACCGCAATATTTTTTTTTTAACTGGGGTTTCAATATTGATCCAAGGGGATCGAAATTTTTGAAATGTTTGGAAATGTCGAACTTATTACCTTAAAAATTTCGAAAACTTTCAATATTTAGAATTTTAATTGCGCTAAAAACGCCGTAGGCTCTCAGGAGCCCCGATGCAGGTGAAGCTACCAGCCTAAAAAAACTTTTTCGGTCAGAGCTTGTTTAGAGTATGAGACCCCCACAATACAAAATACATATCTAAATTTGAAAGAGTACAGAGGACTGAAGCTCGATTTATTTGCAGCCGGTATAAAAGAACAGTCAGAGTGAATGAAGCGATCAGTTTTCTTGGACTTGAAACGCTTCAAACCCGGCGCTTAGAAAAGAGGTTAAATGGTGTGTACTTGATTCATAATGATTTAAATCACCTTAAAGAGTTCCTCACGTAACCCCAGCATCGCACACAAATACTCGTTTTAATAACAGTAAAATGATTCAGGAGTTTTGGGCGCACAATGATACATTTCAATGTTCCTTCTTTCCTAGGGCAATAACCGCATGGAACCAGTTACGAAACAACATAGAAAATACCAATTTCGAAAAATATATTTCAAATTTGAAGGTTGCGCTCATGTGATTGTTTCGTAATGTTTTCGTTGATGTTTTTCTTTGAGTTTACTTTGTTGTTACGTCTTGCAGCTGGAACTGATGTCTCCTATAGTGTAATATATTATGTTTATATTTGTGATGCTCACTACTGCTTGGACTCAAACATGAGTCTGCAGTATTTATAAATAATAAATAAATAAATTGTGGTCTTCGAACTTTCAAATTTGTTTCGCTAATGAATTCAAGCATTCTCAAGCTTTTTGAACGTCAACGGTCCTAAAATCTGAAACTTGCGAACTCGAAATTTCAGGAACCTTGACATTTTTTACTCTTTCGATTTCGAACCTCAGCAGGATTCGAAAGTTGCCAACATTTCGGATCCGAACGATAACAGGGATCATAATTTTTTTTAACATTTCGAGCTCCGGCCTTCAGATGTTTGCGGCGTCTTTATTTAGTACCATGAGTAATTTTTGATACCGGGTATTTCTGCGAATACTTTTGCAAAATTCCTGAAACTAGGGTGGCTGAGAGAAAAACAAAACGAATTTGGGGAAGAAACTGTTAGCCACGACGAACGGCAGAAATGGCAATAAAAAACATTATTCAGCAAAATAAAAACCTAAGACTGACTGATTAACTTTTTAATGAGTGAAAATACAAAGTTGGTTTCATTAACGTGCTGAGCGTCATATAAAACTCCTAGATAGCTCAATTTTAGAAAGACTTGAAGCGCGCGGGAGCGCAGGGGCGAGCTAAAAGTTACTACATGTGCAGCATCGCAAGTCCGGCGATGCGAAATACGGATGATATTCTTACCATTCGCTTTTTCGCATCAAATTACCGTGGCTGCATACCTTATTGTGAGGTATGTTTGAAATTCTTTGCAGAAACACCCGGTATAATGCCGGACCCGCTACTCCAGCAAAACGTCAGTGGTTGGTAATTCATGTAACGTCGTTCGTAGATACTGAAGCTTCCTAAGCACGAATTTCTAGGAGACATATATGTACATCATCGGTTTTCTCTCTATCTGCACAGTTTATCGCTGCACCCGGAAACTTCATGTACGCACTATTCAGAAATTTCCATAGTGACTCTGAAAACAAAGGAACAAATAAGTGCGTCATGGTACAGAAAGTGCCCTATAATGAGTGTGGGGAGACCAAATTTGCCAACTACACAAAGTGGTTCAATGCAACAACATGCTTACCGTAAGTTAAATTGGATTTCATTTCTACTAAATCAAACGCTTTCAATGAAAAACAAATACAAAGCTTATGAACGCATAAATAACAAAAACTTGTTTTCAGGTACGCAATGCGGTCGTTCGACAGTGTCGTAAAGTTGGATGGAACTCAAGGTACAACAAAAAACGTGATGGTTGCACGGCATCAAGTTGGTAAGCCCCAGACACCATTTGCGAAAATACTGACAGGTCGTCGTGACACTGTCTTAGAAGGCACGACAAAGAAGTTAGCAATTGCAGTGTGATTAATGCAATCCAAAAATGCCTACGCACCTCATCTGTAGCATCTAGAGACAGGTCAACGCGAATGACGGGATAGCAGAAAGAAATTGCACTCCAACAGATAACCTGCTTGAACAGAATTATCCTTGTGTTTCAAATGTTGAATGTACCTGTGAAAATCGCGTTTTAATGGCCAAATAGTTCTTTGAGCGGATCGGTTTTTGCTGGAAAAGTCATAGATAAGCACATACGACCACCTGAAATTATTACACTGATATGTTTCAAGTTGAAAAAGAACTTAAGAAAGAGTGAGCGCTTGTTTGCTATAACTTTATCCAAACGGTGTCCTCACTGAACAGGAGTTTTGCCGTTCACAACAATAAGCATACCCGCGCCACACAAGTGAGCAGTCAAGAGGATTGGGAACAAAGCGGATCCGGACGGCGCTTCTCGTGCGCGCTTGTACGGAGCGGATACGATTTCTGACCTAGGCGACAAAAGTCGTGTTCGGTGGGAGAGCCCTTAATTAACTTTCCACGCATCTGCTGAAGAAGAAGAGATGGCGATGGTGCGACTGACTATGGCGGTTCAGGCGCTTCAAGGCCATGCCGCTCTAATGTACTCAGGGCGGCGTTACTTTGTTCGACGGCAGCGCCTTCTTCATACCTCCGGGCACTTTAACGGATTCGACAGGGTAAAAGAGACCCGATCCCCATAGCAAGCGACAAACTGACAGTTCTCAACCTTTAGGCCGGGCGGCGGAGAAAAGCTCACCGGAGAAAAGCTCACCGCAAAACAGGCAGATGCGGAGAAAAGTTCACCGGCCTTTGAGCGGATGCGAAAAAAAGCTCACAGATTTTTTTTTTTTTTAACTTAGCGGATTCTGCGTCAAACTCAAAGGTGGCAATTGATCACAATTCGCATTCGTCACTTCATTAAAATTATGTTCTCGTTTTTGTAATATTCTTTAGGTTCATTGGGCATATTTACTAATTCCTCAGAAATTAGTAATCATCCATTATTTATATTAATGAAGCCACAAGTATAAAATCAGAACATCGTACACCGGTAAAAAAGGCAACAATTTATTGACAGGTGACAGTGCACCGCCAGTAGCTTTGTCAGATAAAGAAGTTTGTTCTTTGCGAGCCAATATGAATAGCGGTGTGTGAACTGTTTCAGTTCCAAAGATTGTGTAGTGCCTAATAGATAAGTAGGTATTTGCTGATGTAATCAGTGTCGGCTACGGTGTTTTCTTTCCGTTAATTTCACTAACAAAACTTTAGTTGCGAGAACAAATTCGTCCTGTCGTGTTTGTGGTCTTCACTCCGTCGTCGTCGTTGGAGCGGTTTTCATCGTGTATAATGTTTAACAACTCGCCCTATTTGCTGCGTTTTTTTTTTTTTTTTTTGAAGACTACTTTTTATATAGGTCACGAGTAACAACGGTAACAGTGTGCAGCTCTGAAGGTCATGGGTAGCTCGCCGTAGAAGGGCATCACACAAAGGCAACGTGTGGAAACACCAACATGAACGGCTACAAAACGTGCTTGTCCGAAGAAGAAAGAAACCTCGATATCTTGCAGACTGTTTTATCCTATTTTTAAAGGTTAACAAAAGCTTCAAAGAGAATTTCAGGTACCGCGTTGTTGCGCATGCACTTTCGGATTTTCGGCATTTACAGTTTTGAATTTTAGGTGTTAGGCAGACATCATTAAGTTTTCGAACTTTTTCTTGTTCTTCGAGTTTATAAAGTTTTCATTTAGGCTTTCGTCGCCTAGAGAGTAGGCCATAGAAAACACTCACCCGCAATGATTAATTTGGGAGCAATATACCCAATAAGCTTAACAAATATTACAAAAAAGGACAGTTTTCGATTTTTACAAAGCTGATGAATTTTAATGATAATAAATTGATATATGTTACGCATGATCCAACAACCTCCATACAAAAAGAAGAAAAAAATCGGTGAGCTTTTCTCCGCACACGCTCAATAGCCGGTGAGCTTTCCTCCGCATCCGCCGGTTTTTCAGTGAGCTTTTCTCCGGTGAGCTTATCTCCGGTGAGCTTTTCTCCGGTGAGCTTTTCTCTGGGATTCCTTTAGGCCATACCCGTGGGCTGTAAATTTGCTGCGCTGGACATCAAACGCTCGCTCGCTGCTGCCGCTGAGAAGAGGCTCGCGTTTTTAGAACATTTTTGGCTACTCCAGGATCAGTCTTTTGAGCTCTGTTGTTTCATTTCAGTAAATAATCAGTTAGCGTATCTTCGTTGGGTTACTTCAACAACAACGGCATTCGCCGGTACTACCCTCAACCGTCGCGACTATTGCGACAATACTTGCTTGGTTTCTGTGAAACGCCCCTCTAACGTACAGTTTTTCTTACTCCTAGGTTAGAACCAAGAAGACTCAGAACAATTTTTCTTAAGTGTGCCCAGCCATAGATGACAGACTCTTGTCTGTTAAGAAATCGCCGCCCCGTCGAAGTTGGCTGTTTTACTTTCATGTAATATGAATAACAATAACCAACTTTCGCACAAATCACGGTGCTGGCGCACCCGCGTCGTTAGGTTTTTGGCGGCTCATTGAAGCCAATTGCGTACTCAATAGTCACTTACCAAGGACTACCTATACGTCAAAAGTTTAAAAAGATATTTTGAATACGAAGACATACATTTTAGTAATAATTTTAATACTAATTACAATAGAGTTTTATAAATAACAATAAACAATTTTGCACAAAACACGGTGTTTGTGCACAAGCGTCGTTAGGTTTTCGGTGGCGCATTAAAGAAAATTAGTCGCTTGCCAAGTACCACATATGCGTAACGTTAAAAAAAGATTTATTTGAGTTACACATACACCATTACAAACATCTGCGATAATGGAAGCCCTCTAATGTCTTTATATTTAAGGCTGCAGACAACAAATTCTGTGCAAATTTATTTGTTGTTATAAAAACAATTCACGCGGTTCTTGTTTCTTACTCGGTGAGCACGTTTTCTTTCTTTTTTTATCGAGATTTCCCACTTGTAGTTGCTAAATGCCTACATTACTATAAGCTATATTTAGCAGAAAAGTTACTGCAATCGCGTCTGGTTTTCGCCGGAGACGACCGACTGACCGTACAGTTGATGAAGTTGTTTTCACTTTTTTTTTTGTTATTTGCGCGGCCGGTGGCAGCAGGGTTTCGCCCGGTTAGTTTCTCTATCGAACACAACTTTGTATGATAACTGGCAGAACTAAATGAGACAACGCGCCGGGTGAGAGATGAGAGTGATTTTCCCTCTCTCCGCCCTTCCGAGTGGAATGGTCTAAAAGTGCCAGGGTCTCCGGGTTTAAGGAAAACAATTGTTGAAACGACCTCTGCTTCAGTTGCAAAAATATGTCCCCTTTTGGTAGATGCCTTTTGACATTCCGCCGCAAACAAGTTTCATACACAACCATTCTTTGCTATCGGCGATCTGAAATAATGATATGTGTTCCGGTATGTAGCTGTTTTGTTAACTTTTAAACAGTGGTGGGCGGGCTATATCTACTGATTTAGTGATACGCCGGGTTCCTGTTGAGATGAGATTACGCGCGTGCACAGTGATAGCAAAGTTACAAGCGTCCCAGAAACTTTTGTTGCCAGTTAGCGCTTGTCCTGTGTGCTTCTTCGTCGTTTTGTCCCGTGTCTTTTGCGCTATTTTTGAATGTAAATTACCAACTTGCCCAGCAGACCAAGCTTTTACAATACATTTCTTCTTCGTTGGGCTCTTTTCTGTGTAAGCTTCCACTATGTGAGCAGTGTACGCAGTGCACGAGTCTCATCGCCCTCTCGACGTGCAAGGCCAGATACTTGCCTACTGCCTTCGAAAAGGGCAGTGCCCACCGGGCATTGCTTCCTTATTTGATGCCTTGGGTCCGTTCATCGGGCATTGGGAGTCTGAGTGTTGGCGGCAAGTTCGATTCCTTCATGACTGGTTGAGAGTCAGTTGCTCCAAGTGGTGCAGGAACGGCCAAGCTGGAGCGACCCGATTGGCAGAATACCGCAAGTTGGCGGTAGCGGCGGCGGAGTTTTTTTGGTGCAGAACTCGGTGGAACCTTCCAAAACCGGTGAAGATGACAGCCTCTGTTGCCCCGGTGATCGTTGTGGATGGTGCTTCGGTCAGACCTGCCGTGGAGCGAGTGCTGAAAAGGGACCAAAGTTTAGTCTTTGAACGTCTGTGGACAAACATGAACTCTTGCTAAGCTGTTCACAGGATTGCAGACAAGGCTCCCACAGAGGAAAAGGAGCGGTCTGTTTCGGAAGGAGTAGAGTCGCTGCAGAGTAGCTACAACGGTAGCAAAGACAATCAGTCGGTCCTCCGGAGGGTTGTCCGTCACTTTTTTAACTCAGACCTTTCGCTCCTGTTGACTGACAAAGAAGGAAGCTTCAGGGTATTCCCAAACAAATTATTTGGTGGAAATCTATGCTGGCTATCAACAAGAACTTCAAGCTAGCAGACACACGACCGACTAGGGCAAAGACAAGGGCTGTTAAGATGCTGGAGGAGTTGAACCTCGAGGCTTCGGCAAAGTGCGCAAGAAATTGCAAACTGGAAGTCCCTGAAGATGTTCTTTGCGACAAAGACTCACAAAGTCGAGTGCCCCATCAGAGCCATCGTCACCGAGAGAGAAAGCTGGCAGGCGCAGGTGAGCAAGTTTCTGCAACTGCACCTGAGTAAACCCATCCAAGAAGACCCTCACAAGGTGAGCAGTTCGGACCCCCTCATCGACGTACTACGGGAGGGCCTTCCCGGAGTCAATAACGTTTTCGCCTTGGACGTTGAGGAATGGCGTTATTCGGTTCCACACGCGAACTTCCAATTGCTGTTCGGGAACTGATTGAAACATCGGGCGTGCTTGCACGTCAAAATGCGTGTGGAGTCACGGCTGATGCCTTTCTGAAATAGTTGAACTGCTACCTAATCTCAGCGCATGTTTGCCTTGAGGACAAGGTGTATGTGCAGAGGCCTGGCATTTCTATCGGATCTAGTGTGGCGCCTGTGGTATGTGAGATTTTTGTTTGCCAGGTTTGACCGCTCGGTTTTGCACGAATTAGCTAACGCACCCGTTGTTAAGGTTTGTAGGTACGTTGACGATTTTCTTATTTTTGTCGGTCTTCAAAGCAAAGCCTTCAGAGTTCCTTCAGAGCAAAGCCTGATCTCTTTTAGCCGAGACTATTAGTTCTGGAGGTTTTAGCACATCTTCTAAGCATTTACAAGGTTTTTTTTTTTTACAATTTTTAGATGTCCTGTTGTCTTTAACTCCCTTGACGATGTGTGGTGGATGTACAGGCCACGCACAAAAAAAGGCCCTTTGGCTTTTGACTCTGCCTACTCTAAATTGATAAAGACAGGCATCGCCTCGCTGCGCCTTCGGTCGTCACTGCTGAAGTCATGTCCACACGTAATTAGTGATAGTTTTGACCTCCAGACACGTCGCTTGAAACACTCTTGTTTTCCCTCAGTTCTAATACGGGGAGTTGCGGAATCCCTTCCATAAAAGTTGAAAAGCTCTACCATTGCATTCAAGAAAAAACCGAAGAATATTTAGTGTTACCTTACATTGATAAAGTGTCGTGCAATCTGAAAAGGATAGTATCCAAGTTCAACGTGAACGTTGTTTTCACTGCCCCGTGCAGATTGTCTAAAATGTGCTGTATGGTAAGCGGGCCGAAAGTGAAGAAACCTGCTTGCAGCAAGAAACACGTCACAAACTTTGTGCCTTGTGCCACTGAGCTGGTTTACTGGATTAATTTGTCTTGTGGTTGTGTTTACATAGGTCAGAGGAGACGTAGTTTAAATGATAAACTTCGAGAGCATGCTGCTTCTCTTGGCAACAATTACGGTTCTCACTTGCCGGGGCATTGTAAAACTTCTGGTTGTTCCCCTATCCTGGACGGTGTGCAGGTGGAGGGACGCAACAAGGGAAGGTTAGAAAGAGAGTTGCTGGAGGATTCAAAAATACATGCATGCGACCAAGACGTTTGTATACCGTTGCGTCGGTGTATATGCAACCCTAAGAATACAGCTTCATTAACACCATCTAGCTTGTAAATATTAACACGGTGCGTTTTCCTTTCCTCGTTCGGGTTGTGCGGATGGGTAATGGAGCTGTTTTGTTACTTTTTGACCGGCAATGGGCGGGCTATATCTACTGCTTTGGCGCTACGCCGGGTTTTTGTTGAGATGAGATTACGCACGTGCCCAGCGATAGCGAGGTTGGAAGCGTTCAAAAAACATTTTTGTTGCCAGTTAGCGCTTGTCCTGCGTGCTTCTTCGTCTTTTTCTCCCGTCTTTTTCGCGCTATTTTTTAATATGAGTGTCCGTTACCAACTTTCCCAACAGACCAAGCTTTTACGATGAGGACCAAAATTTAAATTCAATAACTTCGCGAAAAAAAATTATTTTGGCCCAATACTTGGGTTACTATTTCAGTGATGTTTGTTGGGGAGTTTAGCAAATTTTCAGGCAAATCGGGGACAATGAATAAAACGCCGGTGTACCCCTTTAAGCTCTCTCCGGTCACTGTATTTGCTAGCAAATTTGGAACTGTTTTCTATCAGGGCGCGCACGCCAGGAGCCAGCGTTCGTGTCAGACTACTCGCATCTTCTTCCACCGCAGAGACTTCTCGGTTTGAAATCAGTAAGATGTCACTCTGCTGAATTTCTTCGTGGTGGAGTCATAGCCCATCCCCGATACCCCCAACAGACCAAACCAGACGCAATTCTCAAAACCACCGGCGCTCACTATCACCACAACGCAAAACGCCGTGGAGTAGGGACCGTCGTCTGCTCTCAGATCCACCATATGACGTCACGAGTGACCCTGCTCGTTGTTGCCAGTACAGCTGTAGAGCGGTAGCAAGCGATTCGGGGGTGTACGCGTAAACGTCAAAGTTCATTTTCTCGAAAGGAATTGAATATTTTTCTGAAATATTTCCTAGACATACTCACAGGTGGATATTTAGTACGCGGCGAAAATGTCGGAAAATCAATGACAATCAATATTTTGCAGGAGCTCACCTTTAATGCCTTCTCTTCTTTTACACCGATAGCTTTTTTTTACGTCGATAGCTATTAGTGGCGCACTTTGCGGTTTCGCGCTGTCAACCGCGCTTCATATTGAGGCGGGTCATTCCCGGCACTCCGCCAAAACATTCAACAAGCCGCTGATAACAAGCAAGCAATATAGCATGCCTGGTCCTGCATGGTCAATAAAAGGGTCCCCAACGGGCAATTTGGCAGTGCACCGTAATAGGAAGCCCAGAATTACGACAAACAACAATTCCCGGGAGATACGCAGATAAAACTGCCCCATAATTTTATGATGGATTACGCATCAGAAAGCAAGGGGAAAGCAAGTGTGTTAGTGCCCCGTCAATGCACCTGAGAGATTGTTTCTTTACCACCGCAAGGATAGCAGACCTATCGTTTCTTACAGAGAGGGAAACTAATAATTATAAAGTTTATTTTCTCCCGTACACCTTTTTTTATAGTAATTAAAACCTTCGACTTGTAATGTGGCCAATAATAAACTGTAACACCGCCTTGACAATTAATGAAACCTGTGATCACCGGCTGCAGTGACGAAGGTACGTTCCTTGACGGGTGTATCCTCGTCCTTGAAGGGACATACTCTGTTTGAAGCACAAAGCCGTCCTTGAAGCAATGACATGCCTTCATGTCGCACGAGACAGAAAAGAAAAAAAAAGTACCTCCCCTTTTTGTTTGTTTTTGCGCAATAGGCAGAGCCGTGAACCTGCCGGCTTTTCAAAAAACCTACAATCATAGAAAGTATGTTATTTTCCTAAGATAGAATAAAAAACACAAGTAGATAGAGAAATACAAATTTAAAAAGCGCGCAGCGAAGAATAGTTATATTAGCGTGAAGAAAGGGAACAAAGTATGTGGTGGAGAACAGCCGCTTATCTTACCTGAAAAAAATATGTCACCCACCCACCCAAGTTTTGCTATGTTCCCTGATTCAAAAACCAAACTTTTGGTGAGAAAGTGACTATGGTAGTAAGGCTATTTCTGGGGATTTCACAACAGCCTGAAAATGACTTAGAAGTGAGAGTAAAATATCTAAAATGTACAATAATGCTCCAAAATTGGGTGAGGTGAAATTCGATGAAACGGCGTCAAGGTATTAAATGACGAAGTTCAATGATATGCCCACTTATTCGATGAAACGTCGTTCGTTGAAAGGCATTCGATGAAAAGTCCGGTACCTTCATTTTTAACATCAACTCAGGTTTACTTACTGAATTTAACGAGAAAAGTGATTTGATGCATAATCAAAAACAAATTCAGGTATCCCGCCACATTTAGTGCGGGAGAAACGCTTCCCTCAATTTTATCTGTCAAGCCGTGAGGGACGGACAGGCATAATCTCATGGTTTGATTGTCCTAGGTCGACGTATTTCGGGGAAAAAACTACGGTTTTATTTTACAAAAAATAAACGCCGAATTTTCGGCAAAAACTTAACTTCAAATTTGACAAAAACTGACTCCAGGAACACCGAATCATAGTTGTACCCCAATTCGGAAAATGAAGAATTGACGCAAAAATGGCGCCGCGCTGAGGCAGACCGAAAGCGCCGAGCTTGACGGACGTCTCGAGAAGTGCAAATGATTCCAATGACGTCACATTAATAAAGAAACTATTGCAAAGGTGCAAGCAAGCAGGACCAGAATGACGATAATATTCCCTGGAGAAGGGTAACAATGGGGTCAAAGAAAAAACACACATCTCAATACACAGCTGGGTGACAGGTGCGCGATCAAAAAATTATGCCTGGTCCTGGTATCGAGCCAGGGACCTCTTGATTTCCAGTGGGAATGGAGAGGTCCCTGGTTCGATACTATAGGACCAGGCGGATGTTTTCGCTCGCGCACATGTTACCCAGCTGTGTTTCGAGATTTATGTTTGTCCTTTGACCCCTTTGTTCCCCTTCCCCATGGATTATTATCGTCATCGACGTCACATTACATCTTCTTTGGCAGTGGCCAAATACAAAAAGCTTCTTTTTTTTTGTCACTCAAAGATCCTACCATCGGGTTGTAATCCCGCCCGGCCTTCTCTCTGACTGAGCTGAATAAAACAAAAAGCTATTGAACGATGTTTTACGTGGTTGACTACACGTAGGGTTGACTACGCATACGGAAACTTTGAGTGTGTAGTTCAACTTCCTAACGTATTGCAATTATGAGCTCATCATCGCATTCTCTCGACCTTTTTCAGTGTTTGCACAGGTAAAAAAGGCGCACCTTGACTGATGCTGCCGTCTTGTACCCTTTCAGGCGGACACTTAACGAAGGAATTTTGCTACCCTTTTGTGTACACTGATGCGAAATGCGCCGTCGTGTTGATGAGTCATTGGAACCACGGTAAGCATTCCATATCCAAACAGGGTTTATATTCAGCAGGAGCTAATTCTTCTTCGGTGTAGTCGATCAAACCATAAAATTTTTGGGTTGTTTTTCCTTATTGTTGTCTTCGACCTAACAAGCACTCACCGGTTAGAGTGTTGTTCAAAAAACAGAACACAGCTACCCCGCCGTCGTCGCCGGACATACTTTCTATTACTTATTTCAGTCAGCCAATAAACCCTTTATTAGTAAGTAGGTAGAGCCATCTAAATCGTGACTCGATCCGCACTCCTGCCTCTTTCGATCAGGATGGGCATCGTACCGGCGTGCGGGTGTGTATCACGGCTGTGTGATGTTCGTTCAAGACCTCATGTGCGTTTCTCATCTACATAACGCTGCTAAACATCTGACTAATTTTATTTGTGACTTTAACACTGGGGTAGAGAAAAACTAGTCCTATCAGTAAATGCAAATCCCTTAGTAAGAGAAAGGAAAAGCGATAAGGAGTGAAAAGTCTTTATTGTTTAAGTACGGCATTCGGATAGTAATTAACATACAGCATAAATTGTTTCGTGAAATGACCCACGTGAAAAGCATAATTGAATATAAAATTTAAAAAAATAATAATACAAGCTGGGACAAAAGCAGACATAAGCTAAGTAAAAACTCATACTATCCTTCGATCATGGGTGTTTCATCTTCCTGTTTGCGATATTTTAAATTTACTTTGAACATATTTTCTTTAAAAAGTTGATGATTTACGCGGGCTAAAATTAATGATGCGCTGAGCACCAATCACTAAAATATTTCGTCTTGTTTTATAAGCGGTAAATTCTTTAGCCTAGTTTTATGACGTATCCGGGTTTTGTGGCGTTTTCCTTACATATTGTCCATTCTTATTCAAGCTGCCAAAATACAGTGTGAAAAGAATGCCACAGCTCACAAGCAACAAGGCGGTGAGAACGCTCCCGAAACTGGTAAACTGGATATTTTTTTTTTATTCAAAGTTCTTGTTTCTTCCGTCGCTGTGAGATGTAACAAAAATTAAACAAACCGCTTAGCTTTAAACAGCAAACTTTAGTGCTAAAAGCGCTAATTAGCCGTGTTTTTTTTTATTATTATTTTTTAAGAGACACACTTTAAAGCTGGGCATTATTCCTAAAAGAAGGTACTGCCTCAATGTAAATAGTTCGAAACAATTATCTATCAACGTGTTGTTTTTGAAGAATCAAGGTCAACAAAACGCATTAAACTAGTGTTCACAAAAAGCATTAAGGAACGTAACATTAGCCTGCCGGGTCACAAAAATGCGGATGAAGACAAAACCCACATATGTGTTGTAGTTTTGAGGAATCACAGTGAAGAAAAACAATCGCACATCCACATTTGGCTACCTTGAAAGGTATATACAAGATGCGTAAATGAATGTACTGCGTGCAAGCCGCAATAATATATGCGTGCATAATTATTTAACAACGTGTTGTCTTACTGGAATCAGAGGAACAAAAATACGCTTGTTTGTGTGATTTGGCTAAATGGAAGTTACACATAAACAAATAAAATACCTACATGACAGGTCTAAAAAGTGACTGACACACAGATCCACCAGGGTATAGTTTCTCTGGAATCAACTTTGAACGAAATTGATTCCATAGAACATGTCTACGCTAAATTACACAATAATTCAGAAATTAAGATGATGTTTTTAGGTCACAGTAAATAAAGGCGATTGCGCAACTTTGTGACGTTTGCTTTGAAAGAATACAAAGAACATTGCAAGAAAGAAAAACATTAGTTAGAACGCAGCCTAAACAACTGATTAATTTTATTTGTGACTTTAACATTGGGAAAAAAAAAAACCTGTCCTATCAGTTAATACTCAGCCCCTAGTAAGAAAAAGTAAAAGAGATAAAGAGTTTAAAAAAAAATTGTATTGACGAAGTCCGGCGTTCGGTGACTAAGAACGTACGGCATAAATTGTTTCGTAAAATGACCCATCTGACGAGCGTAATTAAATAATCAATTAAAAATTACACGTGAAGATGTATCCCATTTCAAAATCACAAAATTGTGTGCCGTGTCAACAAACAGTAGATCAAGACCAAAAACAAAAAGCGTGTTACTCGACTGGAATATGTCAGACAGAAAATCAGCTACAATGAAATTAAAATAACTATAGCGTAGAATGGCGTATATGACGAGAGATTTTATAAAATACGTAACTTTGAATGCTATGAAACCCGTGTATCTTGGAAACATTTTTAAGCCCCAGGGCAAAACAAGGACGCCTGTAGATGTAAACGATGCTGTTGGTCAGCGCTTTCGGTTCTTAGTTGGGTTCCATCTTACGAAACCAGCTTCTATGTTTCTTAAAACTCCAATTTATTTTCTCACAGTAGAATAAAGTATTTTTTCTCGTGCGTGCGTGCGTGTGTGTGTGTGTGCGTGCGTGTGTGTGTGTGTTTTCATATAGTATTTTGAGGGAAATTAAAGTGTGAGAACAGGGTAATTTAATACCTTCAAGTTTCATGGCTCTAAAACGATCTCTGTAATGGGAATGGGCCATTATCAAAAACCTCTGACTTCCAACAAACCTTCAACACTTTGAACTCGAAAGAGCGTGTTTTATTACTACTTGCCTTCCACTTGATACCAAAGAACTTCCAAAGATAACATGGATATGCGGGTGTGATAGGGCTCATTCATTATAGTTATGAATAACCAATGTCTAGATACGTTTTTTTTTTTTTTTGTCGTTGTTTTTTGACTCTTTTAATCCTTGACTGTTTAGTGCATATTACGAATATAACCCTGTTCAATATTTTTTCAGGTGAAAACATGCCCTGCCAAACAGCTTGCGAAATGTGGGTGAGGCATGAAAATCTAAACGAAACTTCTCTAAACGAGAACTGCACCAAATATTACAAACAGTTTTGCGGTGACCGCAAAATTTTTCTCTACGACAAGCGAATTTGTGATAGAGTCGAAAAACTTCCAGTTAACATAACTAAATCTATATCTGAAGATCAATAAAACTGATATTCAAATGGTGCAGTCTATATTGGTTTAAATGTGTCACGATTAATATCATGAAAACACCGCTTGACAAGATGCTTAAGTAGGAGGGGCGGCGGCGGCACTATAGTTCTGCTCTATGGTGCATGAAAAAAGTTAGTTCAGATTCCAAGCTAAACACATGTATTTCGTGTAAAGGTAATAGCTAGGCGCAGGAGAAAATCAGCCATCTGCGCTAAGTCCTTATTTATAACTCTTTTTGTTCACGTTCCGCCCATTGAAAAGCACACCGAAGGAAATTAAACACCCTCCTGATCTCGCCGCACCGCCGTCTCCTTCCGCACAATAAACCCATCTGATGTAGTCATTTTCACCATGGCAACGAAGCCTCTGCTGAATAGACGAACGCCCGAACGCAGAGTCTGAAGTATGGTGCCTGGAACGCGTCTCCGACTGGCGTGTTCACCGCGCCCAAAAAAGTAGTCCCTGCATTTCCGACTGATGACGTCATAGAAGTGTCATGCTGTCGGCGCGGTCGCGATCCTGGCGGCGTCCCAATAGCTGTGGTGCATGTGGCAAAGGCATGTTCTGCTGCCGGTCGCTCTTCAGTGTGGCAGCCCACGGAAGTGTCCGCAGCCAGAAGTTGGGACGCCGCGACAACAGCGACACTCCCGTTGGCTCGTGCTTTTTGCCAGCATTTTGACAGCCAACCGCCAGGATCCCGAACTCCGTCAGCATGACACTCCGGCTTTTTTTATATCATTTCTTGCCACTTCAGGATCGCTTTTCATGTATGGGTGGCATAGGACGCTAAGCACACCAGTCGGAGAAGCGCTCCAGGCACCATAGTCTGAAGCCAACAACAGCAGACGCCATTTTTTAAACGCCGCCGTGTTTGTAACTAGCATCAACGCGGCGACGCTAAACAAAACCGAGCATGCTGATGCGGCGGTCTACCCTGAGAACGCGAAGCTGTCGCCTGCCCAACCCTTGGCAGTTCCGACGTAGCTTTACAGAAGCTCGAGTCTGAATTATAAGTTACCTTTCCCGAGCGAAGCGGAGCGAAGCGGAGCGAAGCGGAGCGAAACGAGGGTTGAGTGTGCGTGAGGCGGCCTGTTCGGAAGCCTAGCTTGGAGCTATAAGTTCGCGTTTCCACGTTGACTCGTCCATTCCTCCGCTTGGCTCAATTCGCTCGATTACTCCGCATTACGGCTGCTCTTCAACTCACCTGTCAGTCCGCAAGTGACGTGAGGTGATCAGAAGGATCGACGTCACGGGCGCCCTTTGCCAGGTTACTTTCGATTTGAAGCCATGTAGAGAAATGGCGTTTCTCGCCTCGTAGCACCCACCACGAATTCTAACCCAGATTGTGTTTATGGACTGGTATTCATGCGAAAGGCGTCACACTCAAGTGGTATAAAAAAAAGCGTTACACACACACGCCAAGGCGACATAAAGCATACACATTAGGATAGGAGGAGGAGGAGGAGAGGATGGGGAGAGTACGGAGGAGGAGGAGGGCCATACCTTCAACTCCGTTATCCCCCCCTCCTCCTCCTCAAAAGCTGCGCTCTAGTTTCGCATTGAAGAGATTTGTAAACGTCTGAATTTGTCTCTTCAAGATAATAGCCCAAAATATTAGACTCGTTTAAAACGAAACTTAAGGGAAACTTACCTGTATTTTCATGAAACTGTACCTGTGCTGCCCCAGCCCTGCCTGTTTCGATCTGGATGAGCATCGTAACTGCGTGCGGTCGTGTATCACTACTGCGTGAGCACGTTAAAGACCCCAGGTTAGCAGTCGTACTGCATTGGCAAAATTGCTCATCTACAGGGTAAACCAGTGTCGCCTCATCCTGGTATCCCGACCTTACGCTGTATAAATCACTGAACGTCCAATTTGATTTGATTTTGTACGTGTGCTAAATGTTCTCTACAGAGTATATAAATGTTAAAACATAAATAAAGAAGTGACATTACCTCGTTCCTTCCTTCCATATCAAAACCATAAATACGTTCCAGGAACGCGGTTCTGCGCAACACTGCTGAAATCTCACAGCCGCGCCAGATGCTCATGCCCAGCAGGAAGTTGCGAAGGCGCGACGGAATGAAGCAAATTCGAGTTAAATATACGTTTCCAAGATCACACCCACGTGTGAACACAGCCGCGCCGAATACCCGTAGGAACGTGAGCTAGGAACGACAAGAAACTCTCATGGCTGTATTTCACCGCAGCACGTTTAATCGCACCCAAACTTGCGTCAGTATAGCCCTGTGCCAACTTTAAGAAAGTATTGCGATTGGGATTAAATTAAATCCGTTTCATTTCGAGCACCAGAAGGCAGCCAGTGAAATCGTGTGTTGTCGGCGAAACTATCAGATCGGCTCCAAAGTTGAACAAAAATTTTATTCGCGGAGTTTTTTATACATTAAAGGGACGATGCAACCATATTAAACTGGAATGTTTATCGCTTTATACGAGTTTACTGGTGCTAGTGGGACCCAGGCATACTCGCACGCAACGCCATTGACCAAGAAACCTCTTTGCTGCGGTGTAATTTCAAAGATAAAAGCGAGCGTTTTCTTTCAATCCCTCCTTTGTGAAACTTGATGACGTCGCTTGGTGGTCGCAGTATTCCCCAGTGACGGTATTTGAATGCGGCTTATAGATTGGGCTTGAGCATTGCGTGAGCACTCGATTTGGGCTCGTGACAATAGGTAGTTCGACGAGCATTCGGGTAGTGGCCCGTGTCCAATCGCGGCAATGACGACCATAGCTGAACCCTAACAATGTTTGAAACTCAGCCCGTGTCCTGTGCTTTGCCAACCCCAGCGCCTGGCTATCATCAACATTGGCGGTATGTAATCGTCTCCAGATCACGGTGGCCGTTTGTTCTGGGTGCGAGTGAGGGGGTGAACGCTGGTCACTATTCATTATTTTCTTCTGCGACGTTTATTGCGTGGGGAGAAAAACGAATGCGTGTTTCTTTGGTCATAAACGTTACGAAATCATTTTAAGTGGTGTTCTCGCAAAGTACAAATATTGTTGCACCGCCCCTTTGAGAAAAACAGAGCGTAGCAAGACCCCAAATCGTGTAATCCCTCCGCAGCCAGTGACATTGCGTTCGTATTTTGAGACCGCGATGACTTTCAGAAGTAACATTCATCTTTCCAAAAACTGTTCAAAGATTTTATTTTTGTAAACAGGCACGTGACACTATATTTTATGACAAAATGTCAAAAGTTGAATTCTTAGAAAAGATAAACCTGAGGCGTACCTCTGCTTCGTCCCTTTCGGTTGAACAGACTCAATACCGCCACCGCGCTTATATCGATAAGGTCTGAAATTGTGTCCGTCACTTCCTCGACTGTTTCTGTTCGTCAATGAAAGCAATGACCATTTTATATTGGCGGTTAAACTCAAGCCCAACTGCTTATTTTAACGAAATGATCTTTATACCTGGGTCGAAATTCAATTTTCATCGTGATGCAGCAATACGTTCGCGGTTTGCAAATGCCAGAACATTTAAGTCGCCTTTTCAATGTGAGTTAATAGCAAAGACTTCAAGGTTATTGAAATAAAAGACTCAGTCTGATGTCTGAGAGTCAATCGAAAGGGATTGCAAAACTTACCAATCCATCTATTTGGGATGGACACGTGCAGCACGTACACGCACACTGCTTTGCCGTGTGACATGCAACGTGGGAGATGAGACATGTGAGTTTAGCGTGTAAAGTTAGACCGTAGGAGGCCGTTCAGTTGCCTCGACTACTCGCGTCTCCAGCTCGTTGCTCGCCCTCTCGCGGCGGAAAAGGGAAGCGCTCTAGTGACGGTCCCCCGGTTCTCCTGCCCAGCAGGCACGGCGGAACTGCTCGGGATCAAGGCTCGGCTCGCAAGCTGTCATTTCTGAAGGCAAACAACACTCTTCACGGTCCCAATGTAGAGCTGCGGCCTGTGTGGTATTTAAACCTTACTCTTTAACCGGTATTTGAAAGAAGCGTGTTCCAGTGAGCAGGCGTGCAAGCGGATAGGCGTTCCTTCGAACTAGATTGGCAAAATGACGGCGCGTAAAAATTAGACATGTTCTGGCCAATTTTGTAACTAAACAATAAAAAAAACACGTAATCCGGTTTTTGAATTTCGGGTGGGATTTGGTTTGGAAGGATTGGCTGGGAATTTGGAAGTTTTGCCGATTGTCAAAACTCGCGGCACAATTAATGTCAATTTACGCGGATTTCTCCTACTAGCCAGAATGTTTTCATTTATTTTAGGCTATTTTATTTATGACTTCTTAAATAAAAATGCTGCTATAGGTACCAGTGATGATAATTTGTCAACTTTGGATCGCCACAGCTGTTCGGTCGTTTGAAATTTGATCAATATCGAAATTACATTAGAGCTTGAAAAACAAGGCATTAAAATATCTTAACTGTATTATTATTAATACAAATCGCGCGAATGTACGCCACCAATAAACGCCAGGACACAAAAATACGTCATTTGACCATAATAGTATATACAGAAAGGTCTCAATTTATTTTATTTTTAGCACGTGAAAAACTCTGACATTGTTATCAAGATAGCCATAAACAATGGACGTAATATACAATCATATGCGTCACGCATTGCCATAAAAAACACACACTTCTGCTGTCGGACTCGGATTACGTTTTGGGGTTTTTGTTGTGAAAATTTGTTTTCGTCTTGTCTTTTATTTATTTGTTTTGGGCACATAATATAAATGCATCGCCCAAAGCGATATTTTGTAAAATTTTGATTGGTGTTGTTATTCTTGTACTTTGAATGATGATGCATCAGTTAATCGCCTAAATGCCCGCACTTCATCATTTCACATGAAAGTTATTTGAGTGAGAGAGAGCAGCCAATAACACATATAAATATAATATATTGATATCAGCCCTAGCCTCCACAGTTCTCCCAGTTATCATGAAACGAAGTATAGCCGTCAAAGCGTATTACACGTTCGTTTTCTCTGTTTCTCCCATCCGACGCTCTC